GGTACTGGTACATCACAAGCCACACGTACCCCAGTCTAACACATACATATTCTCCACCCACCTCGCGTGGAAGAGCCGATCGTCCTTGACCTTCGACTGCGAGCAACGTTCCTCTATTGAACGCCTCCACGTGGTTCAAACTTTGTTGACCAAAAGCAACCTACTTCCTGGCCTCTACAGCCGTATTACACCGGTAGTTGGATACTCTAGAAGTAGCATAATACCAATTAATGATTCAGTTATATATATTCCCAGGAGGAGGAGAGAAGAATGGAGACCCTCCACCTCACGGAGTAGACGCAGTAAGAAATGAGGTTTGGCTCTCATCTTGAGACGCGGCAGTAGTGTTGTCCCCTTCCATGTGAGACGTGTCTACTTGAACAGCCGAGGCCGCCGAGGGTTGGGCAGAAGATGGTTCCTGAAATTGGACACCTGCACTTGTACGGGCCTTCTTGGCTGGTTGTTTTGGTGGCTTGCCCTGCTTGGTGGCCTTTTTTGGTTGTGTCACTGTGTTGGGAACCATGGTGCTCTGCCCGGTGGATGACTTAACTTATCTCTCATCGCTTGAGTGATGAAATGCTTGGTGATGATCGCAGCCACGGTGTATTGGTTCGTGGTGTAGATCACTTCTCTTTTGTCAATCTTGACATTTAGGTTTTCCCAGTTCCTATCAAGTTGAGCCTGTCTTGAACTTTTGAAGAACTCGGAGTCGTTCTTTCCCGGCTTGTAGACCGTTTGAGTGCCTCTTAAAGCCTCAAAGTCCACATGGGCCATATTTCTCACACTCCAGATCATATCTTGAGCGTAGTCCAAGCTCTTGAGCGCAATGGCCTTAAGCAAGTATATTGTCACCTGCTCGTGAGTGAAGTCAGGATTGTGAGGATAGTATTGCTTCGGTCTGTCGGCCTTCTTGCCGTGAGACCCTCGACCAGTCTGCTGCGCAGATCTTCCTCCACAGCCACCTTGACCGCCTCTGCCTTGGTTTCTTCTACCAGGCATCTTGCTCTGTAGTCCCTCCTACTTTGCAATGTTCAAAAATTACCTTTGTTGATCCACTGTCAGATAATCAACTCCGTAGCTGTAATGAGAGCCTCAACGCTCTAGCTACCTCTGGAGTATACTGAGCTTGAATCTACGCCGGCTATAGATTGCCTACAATAGGAACAGGTGCCAGTGATGCTGGGCTTCAACCTGCGGATGAACAGTCTCACCACTTCCTATTAGATCTTATTCTACTGCTATTCTTGCCAGAAGTCGATCAACAATGATCTCCACAAGCAGGCACAAAAAATCTCTTCCGGAAGCCGCGTGCGTCAGCTCTCACCAGCTGTCGCGGCGTATAAAGCACATACGCACATGTTCTTCACAAACTAATCACAGAGTAGATCTACCTTCAATACTTATCCATCTCTGTACGTACTCGAACCGTACTTCTGTCCGTGTTCGATATCACCAATGTCCGACTTCACTGTCCGACATGTTCGACTGTTCTTTTACCTATCAAGATCCCATTTCACCAACACAATCAATTCGCTTCGCGAGGAACTCTGGTTGTCAAATTTCCCTGGGGTTTGGCAGGTGTTCAGACGATATGCAGAGACCACCACAAGATCTAAAGGACCAGCCGGGGGCCCATCAGTCTGAGACTGCTGTTGTCGGATGTCCCTGCCCCGGATGTTGATCCAAGAGAACCTGCCTAGCCCTGTCTCATCTTTGCCGCCTGACTTTGCACGGAGCGCGACCTTGTGGAGTAATGTAACAGAACATCCGCCCCATTGATGCGCCGAGGGAGTTGGAAACTCCTGGTGTTCGTAGTAAGATACTGAAGAGAAATGTCCCTGGTTAGTGAAGGACTTGACCCAATCAAACCACTTGTGTCCTCTGGGCACTGCTGACCATTGAAGGTTAACTTCAGTCAGCAATGCAATACCCACTCTCTCATCCGTCCAACACTTGAAGAGCCCTTTCTGCTTCTCATGTGTCATAGGAAATGAAAGACCCTGAACATTTTGAAAAAGGACCCGGGTAACGCAAGGAGACTTCTGGCATGATTGCCAAAGTAGTTACCGGGAGGGAGAGAGTTTAAATAAGCATCCAGCGAGGAGTGGGCCACCTGGCTGGATGTGTGTTGGTTGCGTAGATTTTGACCTTGGCCTTCCGTCAAACACCGCAACCTTGCGTGATGGGACCGTTGGTGGTTGGGGGGCACCCCCACTGTCAGCCGATGATGTTGCCTTGCTGGAGGAGGGGCTTGACAAACTGTGCTTGCCTGTGACCGATGCTTGTTCCACCATTTTGGCCTCCAATTCAAGGATACGAGCATCCTTGGCAGCCTACGCATCCTTAGCTTGAGCAAGTTTTTCCGCCGCAGTCTCTAATTCCAAGCAAAGGTCGTTGACATCCGCTTTCATGTTCTCCAATAGTGCTGCCATATTTGCCGCGCTTCCTACCGTAGCCCCGTCACCATATCCTTTGCAGCTGGCATCATAGAAAAAGAAAACACGGAAAACGAAAAGCACCGAACCGATCGGAACTTGCAAACGGTCTTCGTAGTCTAAGTACCAGAGTCTACGTAGAACTTGCTGAAGTTTTTATCAATTCAACGGCATTTCACTGTTTTACAATGGGGAAGTCTACATCACTGAAGGTTGTCTCAACGACTGCCAACAAGGCGGGCGGGTCCACACCCAAATCGGTTTCTGTCGCCAAAAAGAGCGGAAAGAAAAGATTGGAAAATGCATCTGCAGTTGATTTACGTCAACCTAAGGACAGGGATCCTACTGTCAACAATGATTCGGAGATTCGAGAGCTGATCGCATCTCTCCCACCACTGATCGACTTTGGGTTATCTACTCACGAATTGATTGCTATCGGGTACGACTATAATTCAACTAAGATTTCGTTTGGTAACTCCATTTACAATCAATGGATGGAAGAACATAATGATCGGTGGACCCAAGCGCTCCCAAGGTTTGACAGCCCGTTCAAGGACCTCTACGCTAATTATTCAGTTGAAGTAAGGGTGAACATGCTATTCGCTCAACATGCAAACGATTGGCGACGGGTGTTGAAATTCCTAATTTCGCTTTTTGATGATGACGCCTTGGGAAACGTGGAAAAAACTACAGAATACACATGGGGAGTGAGAGCAATCGCATTGCAAGTCGCTCAGCAGATTCCGTTTTCCTTTTTTGATGTTGGCCTTGTGAACGATTCCAAAGTTCCACAAGAAGATCTGTATTTTTTGAGGGACGATAGGACGAATCCCGCTCTACGTAATGAGACTCCCCTGGTGCAGTTTTGGTTGATGTGTGCTTCCATTTTTGATCACCCATGGACGATGCTTTTTGACGAATTTCTCGAGGAATCCCCAATCTCTTGCATTCAAGAAATAAAATTGAAGGTGATTGAGGGATTTCCCAATGACGAAACTAATATGGTGGATATTCACAAGGGGGTCAAAAAGATATTTGATCCTGACTACGAAGATTCTGAGGAGGAAGATGACCCGATGGGCGACGCGGACACTGGCCTTGTCAATCAGTTCGGCCAGCCCGATGGATGGGACTCGGACGAGACAGTTGACGACTCCAACGACCGAAGGAACGACATGGAAATAGACGGTGAACTTGCGTCGGTGATGACCGCACCAATTACGACAGCGAAGACGACAAGGGCGAGGCGGAGGAGGATGACGAGGATACTGACGAATCGACCAAGGATTCTGTCAACTTGGACGGCATAGAAGGTCAGGCTATTCTGGTCGAACTGGGAATGGCATACAGCTATCAAGGCCAACAAGGGGGGAACACGACCCATGCCTCTATTATCTTGAACCATATTCTGGATACGCTGGAGACGATTCGCTTTCTTCCTTTGTCTGACAGTGCTTACAAGAAGTCTAAGCAGTGGATTCGAACGGAGGCGGATCTTTGACGGCTGATTCCAGATTACCGGAGCCTGTCCAAGTATCTGGATATGTCTTTCGGCAACATGTCATATGCCTCGACTTCTAATAAGCCAGGCGAAAAGAAGCTCCGCACAAGGATGAGAGTGGGTTTTGAGGTTGAAGTGACGGCAGGAACGATTCGCCAATATCTACACGGTGAATTGCGTCTGCAAGGGTATGGAGCGGGGTGCTATGAATCGGTTCTACAGTTTGGCGATATCGAAAAGATTGGGGCTCTGTGCTTCTATCCACAGGAAATTAACATCAGGGCTATAGAGAAAGAATTAATGCGACACTTTGATTGGAAGACGGTTATCGGCCTGCGAACGATTGCCCGGATGCATGATGTGGCACGTTTACGTCAGATCGAGGGACGCTAAGCGAGCGGATCGAGAGTTACGATTATGGCTACACCCGTCTACTCCTAAGAAAGATTTCCCATGGTGCGCGGTCACACATTACATTAGCGATTGGAAGGCTGCTCAGAACGGGACAATCAGCGTTAAGGCAGTGGGTCCGGTTAAGGATGAGAATCTCACTATGATCTCGAAGCATAACGACTTCGTGGAACTGACACAGGCCAAATATTGTCCAGTTGAGATTCCAGGGATGCTGAAACAGGCAACTACTAAAGCCTTTGGTCCTCGCACTTGTTTGTCCATTTTTCTTTCGATCAAAGCCCGACCTGTTCATGCGGAGAAGGTGGCAGCTGCGGAGGTGAACGTGGATTCCGATTCTGATGACTCCTTGCTGGAGGACATCTCCCATAAGTTCACCAAAGTGACTGTCAAAGGGAAGACAAAGATCAAGAAGCAATCTCCAAAGTCTGCCGTGGCACCGACTCTGGAGCATGATGGTCCGGTTCTCACTCCTGCACAGCAGCGCCGTGCAAAGGAAGCGGAGAGGAAGAGAAAAATGGACTTGGAGAACAACGTTCCTAGTCCCTTGTTCATCATGGTGTTACCAGGTGAGATGGAAGGGACCTACTTGTTCATCAGTAGGCTGAAATATGCTGCCTTGGCAACTAATGTTCTGAATGGACTGGTCCCATTCTTTACGCATCATTTGGGGGAGTTGACGACTACTCAAGCTAATAGGGTGATTGCGAAGTGGCTGTCCATGTCTCTGATCCATACGACACGCCGCAAGGAACTTGTGTGGTGCTTAGAGACTTTACGGGCTCGACCATCAGACCAAACCCTACAAGGCATTGACGAAGCGATCGATTTCCTTGATGGATTTGGGTCTGACCCACTTGACGTCGCCGAAGCTAAGCTGGAATTTGATATGGAAATGGCTGATGCAAAAGATATTGATGATGGAGCTACAGTAGCAGGCGCCATGGATGAGTTACTGGAGAAGGATAGCCAATTGGAAGCGGCAATCACTGAAATTGAGTTTAAGGAGAATCTTCTGGTTGAACAGAGTAGTGCTTTGGAAGCTGAACGAATCCGGTCTGAGTCTCTGGCCAACAAACTTGCGGCTCTGCGCCTCCTGCAACAGACTATTTCGAGCCAAGCGGCGCAGCCGGCTGTGCCTCACCAACCTGCAGCCACGGTTTCCTCTCCCCAGGACAGGCCAGAGCCAGCAGCTTCCGATTCTGCCGCAAAGGAGCCAACCAGGGGTCGGTAAAATAGAATTGGCAGTGCAATTAATTGCAATTGCATATTGCAATTACATAATTGCTCAGCCATCCGGACGTCAATTAATTGCTATGTAATTTTACCAATGACAATTAATTAGAGT